CTTTAGATTTATTTTATTTGAGATAGAATGCAAAAACAGCATAGTACGAGAGATGAGCAATCCGGTTTGGTGAATGGATTCTCGTATTGGAAATGATTATTAGCAATTGTTATATTCAATTATACTCAAAAATGGAAACCGACCTTTATATAACTCATATAACGGATGATCACACTTGACAATTGTCATATCCGATATGCATGGCTTATGTTTAATACTTAACTTTATCCAACGATTATTGTGTAATCTGTACAATAGCACCCATTGATGTTTCTGATATTCTCGTGTGCTACTCATACGGCTGATATCGTATATGTACAGCCATTTTGTAAACTTGAATGAAATGTTTTAATTTTATGAATTATTGAAAATCAACGTGTGATCAAAACCTAATACCAGATCATTTTGCCTCTTAGGTATGAAATATTTAATATCAACTCGGGAATACAAACATATCACTCAAAACAATCTTGGTTTTGTATTAAATCATCTTTGTGAAAAGCTGTATTTCATTTAGAGAGAATATTTTAATGCATTTTATGAATGGATTTTGGCAGTATTTAATTTTTGTTTTAAGTTTTATTTCCATTTTCATCTCCCATAAGGATCCTAATTCCCCTTATCATCTAGTAGTCACTCCCGAAACTAATCAAAATATTGTTCTTAAAAACCTTTTGTTATCGAAACATAAATCGATATCTTAAACAAATCAAAAATGCCAATCAATAAAAAGAACCAATGGAATAATTAATAAAGCAGGCATCACTAACGGCTTTTCGAGGAGGGGAAATATGAATATGAATTCGGGTATATGAGCTGGTATATGAGCTTCTGGTTGTTTAGATTATCCAAAAGTCAATATAATACATTTCCCCAAGAACTCGAGGCATGGGTTTCAAGGACAGATATAGAATGGAACCGACTACAGATTGGTATTTTTTATCCCATACCACTCTGATGGCGACGATTAACACTGATGGCGAGCGGCGGAGATTCTGTAAGAGACAGAATCAAAACATCTGCCCGCTTAGCAAGAAAGTAAAGATTCCTGCCACATGTCGAAAGTACATAGAAATTATCCTATATAAGGTTCGAGATATTTGGATTATCTCGAGGCCAATATACACTTCTATAATGATAACATTATATCTGCCCGAAGGTCGTAGGTCCCGAGGGTAGACACATTATATTGGCCCAGGGATAATCCCAATATCCTTAACTGACTATAAGATGATCTGTTTATTCCCCCAACAATCTTGCTCAACTAGTTACATTGTTCAATTGGCCGAGTTCAGAAAAAATCAACCGTAGGAATTTTTTTAGAATAGTCATGTCAAGTTTTGTTTTCTTGACCGTAGTAGGATTTTCCTGTTCTTTCAATCAGATATTATCCACATTTACATTTTCGTATCTTTGATCATTTACAGGGAATAGTACAGTATATTCCTTCCCTTGTTTCAATCAGCAAACAGATCGCGATCGTCTTCATTTTTCGCCATTCCACCAACATACGAACGGCGATTGTAACGTAGCGGGCAGATATCGGGGCAGATATAAAATACCCGCTCAGGCCGAGACGTTAAGCTATATCTGCCCGCTGACCGTGAACTGTGATTAAATTAAAACGGATGTTTGAGGTGTGTAAACGAGCCAGGATACGCAAATAACACATATGAAGCTACATTTTGATTAATCCGCAACACGAGACTGGACTCCGATTATAATATGTTGAATTTAATTCATTCGTTTTACTATCTACACATTCCCTTTTGACTTGAAACAATGAAACAGTGCTTCCCTCTTTAAAATAATTTATCATTAAAAGCGTAGAAAACTTGAAATATAACTAGTCAATCCCCGGGAATCTGAGCCTCCTATATTTTAACATGGGAAAAGTGGAAAAAGGTCTCAAAAACACATTTCTAGGGACGCGCCTCTCATTTATTTTCGTTTTCTAAGATTTCTGATAACTAGGTATCTTCCAACTGTGACACTTTGCTTCTATCTTATAAGGCATTGCAATGATTGAATCACAAGTGAAGGGTCTAACCTTAAAAAATGAGTTCATGGCTTTGCTAAATATGTTCTTAAGAATTTTTTTTTTTTATTACACATGTTGTCTTTTGGTATATCAAAATCCACCTCATTTCTAAAAAAGTGTCAAAATTCCATGATGATAACTTATAGAATAAAAGAGTTGCAGCATTCTAAAAAGCTCTCCTTATCGGGGGTAGACCTTTGTTTCAAACATCGATGCATCGCCAGAATCAGCTTTGGCGATGTATATCGCGATGTATCGATTAATCGCGACAACACTACTACACATACAAATAAGATGTATAGTCATACTGTACAAGTGGTAGGCTAACTGCGAATCGAATTTCTCTTTTTGTCAGTGTTGCTTGGTAGCAATACAACTGTACATGTAGCTTACGTATAGTCATGGGCTTTCAATTGAAAGGGTATGCAACTCTGTGTAAAAACATGAGACCTTCAAAATGAGCAATGCCATGCTTCCTTTTTGTCTATGTCTATGTCAATAATCTGCAAAAGGCTAATAAGCCCATATAAAGCAGATATACTGTATAATTTAACAGTGATAGAATTTGAATAGAATATAATTTAAAACCTTAACATTTAAAAATAGATCTATGGTTTGCAACTCATTAAAATGGAAAGGAACTTTCCTGGTTGGCCCCTGTACCCCCTAGGAAGTTCCTTTATGTTGAAATACCCTGGGGTGACTGTCAGGCTACCGCGTTGACATCACCCCTCTTTACCAGTAGTGCAGGCTTGTTGTTGTGCACTGGGGACCTTTTACATTAAAACATAGATCTATATTAAAAACACACCTATTTAATTGCAGTTATTGACATAGGCATAGTATGATGATTTAAAACTACTTAGACTGTCACAGTCTAAGATTGTCCTAGGGAAATAGCTAAATTTGTATACATCCGTTCTAGTTGATGGTTGTATGAACTTAGAAGGATGATACAGCCTAGTGTTGGTATTGATCTGTTGGCGGAAGTATGGAGGCACGTCGATAGCTGCTAGGTTTTGCTTTCCTTTGTAGAAAAGGAAAACTCTAGCAGCCTCTCGACGCTCCTTCAGTGGCTCCCACTGTAGGTCTTGAAGAGCTTTGGTGACGCAGCCTGGTTCCCTTGAGTGGCATTTGGTTACAAACCTTGCTGCTCTTCTCTGTACCTGTTTTTATGGTAATATTTCAAAAAGTATTAGATAAATATATATGTTTTTGTATTATTTTGAATAAAAATCAATTTTCAATATGATTAAAGCATAGAATATATTCAATCTCATGTAAAACTAAACAAAAAAGACCAATAAGAATGAGAGGTATCAAGATGTTCTCTTCAAGTATTGCATTGTGGGTAATTATTCAAGAACACATTCCAATAAAAATATAATTTGTGGGAGAATGTTCACTTTCTGTATTGTCATTATTTCGATGAATTCCATTTTTTATTAAATTATCAACATGTATGTAGATAATCATGGTTTATCTTTGAGTGATTTCTTTAAATCATCCATAAAAAGGACAAAATAAGATTTTCTTGGAATGTGTACATTCTCCAATTTTGAAAACCCAAAGGCAATGCTTATGTGTGAAATATGGGAAGTTGCCTACCCTTCTAGTTGAAAGCCCATGTTATAGTGCAGGGCAGACAGCATGTAATTCTGGTAGACAGTGGCGATGTCAACGCGGGTCCCAAAATGTTTTTTAGCTTCAACAACTGGGCCTTTTGAGGCCAAATTATTAAAAATGGACCGTTAAATTTTTATAAGTTAGGTTCAATTTTGGGGTTTAGGGGCCCAAATCTCAAAAAGAAAAAAATTGGGCCTCTGGTTAGCTTCAATTTTTACATTATGGACATGTGTCTTCTTTGAACCCCGTAGTAACCCCTCCCCCCTCTTGGAATGATCCAGTGATTTTGGTGGAATCCCCAGGGTGTATCATACATACATGTACATTGGACATCTGGATACATTTCATCAATAAATTAATCCACCTTGCGATATCGGAAAGATTTATCCACCATATTTAGGATAAATTCAAGTATTAGTTCCACTATGCATTATTAGGTAGATATCCATCCGGATCGGATTTTGGATCGCATAAATTCACCCCCACCCCCCCCCCCCCCCCCCCCCTTGAATTATTCCTTGACATATACTTATGATTATCTTCCAAATGCATTTAAAATAAAAGGTTCAGGAGACTGTTGTTAATAATAGAGATATTTCGCAACTCACTATAGCATGTTTACGTTTATTATTCCCGTATAACATGTAACTTATGAATCGTTTGATTACGTCATTATTTATTGCGCAGCTAGATACGTCCATAAGTGTGATATTCTTACGTATAGACGACGATTTATAAGAACAACACACTTATGGAAGTATAGAGCTGCGCAGTAAATGATGACGTAATCAAACGCTTTATAAGTTATACGTTATGCGCGAATAATAAGTGAGTTGCGAAATCTCTACTATGCCGGGGATGCCCTATAGAGAAGTTCCAGTTAATTTGATTCTGAATATGAATATGTGAAATATGATGTTTCATTTTGATGAATGTAATTAACTAATATGATTTATGATAGGTCTAGTTTGTGTAGTTTATTATTTTACTTAAATGTTTATTTTCTTCTTAGATGTTGTCCTAGTCTCAATTTATAATACTAAGTGACAATAGGTCAGAGTAAGTTGGACTATTAGTTTGATAAGAACATGCCGATTCTCCCATGTTGACCTAAGTACTTGATTCCCAAGCCTTCAAGATATGCATACTGGCATACAATATAAACACAAACATTTACTTGTAATCTATAAAAGACTTATTGGTGTTTTATTCAAATATGAAGCGTATACATAAGATATCAGATATTGTATTACATTTTTCAAGAATGCTTTTAACTATGATTCCATTGAATAAGAAATATTGGATTTGTCCAAATGTTTAAGCCTTTCAATTCAATGATTTAGGCATCAGGCATTATTTATGCACAGTGGAGGCAGTCTCAAATACATAACCTGAAAATAAACGATTTCGATTTTTTAATAACACTTTTAATATTGACCAATGGATCCCATTTTGCTGACCTTAATATCAAGAAATAAAAAGTGGAGTTCAATTCTAGAAGCGAGTTGAATTCTCTCTGATAGTGAAAATACATTACAGCTTTATCACAAGTAATTCTGTTTTGATGACCTTACATATGTCAAAAACTTGTCAAACAAAGATAATAAAACAATGGTATCAGGAGATATGGATGGGTCATCGTTTGCCAAAAAAGCATTTGATCCCTGGCGATTGCGTTGTAAACATATACACAGGCAGGGAATACGTTTGGATCGACAGAGGCCTGCTTCGGGCAGATCGGAGTTGCCAAACCAGGTAAAGCTTATAAATGTTATAAACATTCGAAAATACTATTACAAGTTGTACTATAAAGCACTTTTTAGATGAGATTTTTCAAATAATATTATTTTGATGATTTTTATTTTGTCGGAATACATCGCTGACGCTTCCCCTTCCCGTTGGTTTTTCAATTTTGAAACGAACGTTTTATCTTCCCTCGTTTTTATATTTTTTCAGTTTCGGTTCAATTCCAGGATCATTTGAATAAGTTATACATTTCCTAGAATACAGAGTGGGCCACTAATGTTACTGATTTTAAAATGTAATAACTCAATCAGTATTGTCATGAATGGTCTCAAACTTTCTGAGATGACTAAGAATTGATGTAAGTTTTGTTTCACATTAATAGTTTTATGTATGACTCTGCATTTTTGGTGGCTGCGAATTAAATTATCATGTCCATTTTAGTGAATGGTTTGCTATATTATGCCATTCTGATTCGAATATGCTAAAGGAAACCAACGTTGAATTTCGAAAGGAACCAGAACCAAGCAACAGTTGGCCAGCGTGGATGGAACACTAAAATGGGCATGCTGATTTGATTGGCAGCCACCAAAAATGGGATATTACATTTTTAAATCAGTAACATTTTTTGGCCAACTCTGTATATGAATTATCTATATTCTTGTAAATCGTTTGGGCAAAATCTTGGAACTGAAGTCTTTACTATGATTCTAAGATGTTTTGAAAAACAAAAATAAATGGTTGATTTTACACACTCTCTCATAGACCATCTATTCTGTAGATGCTTTTCACCAGAATTATTAATATGTCTACGGTTTCGATAAGACAAATCTTTATTGTCAAACCATTGGTCTACAATTCATGATATTGATTAGGATATGTCAAAACATCCTTACTATCAGTTGACATTATTTGAACCGGGCTCTTAAATGACGGACCTCGATAGTAAATGCAATTTATAAGGTAGTGACATCATATTATGGCATGGACTACCAAATGTTCAGAAAAATATAACTACGGTATTGCTTGACATAATTAGATAATTTTAAGTGTCCACACTTTGCGGTGACAGGTTACGAGGCATCACGCTTAATGTTTATATACTTCAAAACAAGTGTATGATCTTAAATTTTCTATTCGCAGGGTTTTATCTATAAAAAACACTACTCGCCAAATATAGATGAACAACTGAACATGTCTAAAGAATCATCAGGCAAGGGGTTCCTTAGAAGAGGGAGCAGTGGTATATGGATAAAACGAAACAGCAGTAAGGATAAGGTGAAGGATATAGAACGCGAAGACTCAGAAACTCGACTCGCCAAGAGGGCAAGACTTCAGTCAAGGGTCAGCATCACTTTGAAAGACTTGAAGAATTTCCAACCTGAAAAACACGATGCAAAATTTTTCGCAAGTGTAAGTAGAAATTATGAAATGAACATGTTTTAATTAATATCTATTTAAAATCCTTGATATACGAGGCTCGATCAGAAAGTTTCTTACCAAATCCTCTCAATGCTCATATCCTTTCAGTTTTGCAGTTTGCGCTTGAAACTGTAACACTATCACCGTGCCTATAATACATGCACACCGGAATAGCCTGACAACGGTTAAGTCTGATACGAGGGTTGTCCCATAAGTCTTGAAATTTTTATTCTAATTCAAAAAGATTTTAATGAATTTGGCTGAAAATTTGTATGTATCAAGATCAACCAATTATCTTCAACATGTGATAGTTTCATAACAAAATTATGAACTTGAGTAATTATTATGGTTGCTGTGGTAACTGGGGGAGTCGGGGGGTGGGGCAGTAATGAAATATAGTAAAAATGTAAAATGGAGCCATGGGAGTATTAAGGATTTTAAAGGATGGTATGCATCTTAAATTGTGAATCACCTGTCAAGATTGACAAAAACACTGTATTCTTGGTAAAATCTGATGAAATACCTCTGTGATGTCACAATACACTAGCACAATTGCTCAATTTTGGTACAGAGCCACAGCATTTTGAAAATCAAAAGGGCAGGGACATAACCGTCGTTTCAACTGTTAAAGCTACGTTCACACCAACGGCGCTTTGATGGCGCTTTAAAGCGGCTTGCAAAGCGGCACCAAAGCGTAACAAAGCTTGATTAATGTGTCGGGGTCGTAATAGGTCGTAGAAAAGCTCGGAGTAAAGCGGGATATTCGGCAAACTGTTTAAAAATTTTGGGCGCTCTGTTACGAATTGATTAAAGCGCGAGGGCGTATCAAAGCTTAACAAACCGTAACAAAGCTCAGCAAAGCTTGGCCCGAAGCGTAGGAAAGCTTAACAGAGCTTGGTTCAAAGCGGGGACTCCAGTCTCTTCACGGTCTGTTACCACTTGACACGCTTCGTTAAGATGTCTCAAGATTTGCTACGATCTGGCATGAAGATCTGACACGAGGTCAGACGCTTTCATCAATACTTGACACTCTTTGTTACGCTTTCATGAAGGACTCTCTTGAAAGCTTTCCAACGAATTGAGACGCTTTAATCAAGGATTGAACGCTTTTTAGGCTTTGTTACGCTTGACAAGCTTCCTCACGCTTTCTCACGCTCTTTCACGCTGGGTGACAAACGTCATGTCTTCTTCAGATAGGTCATGCTCTGGTCCATCTGGAATTTTTGGATCTTGTTGTTCTGCCATCGTCTTCCATTGCGTGGATAGGAATGTCCCTCGTTAAATCTGATTTGTCAAGCCTTATTTTGGTATGGCACAAACTAAATGTACATTTAGCAGCATTTAAAAGCGGAAAACAGTAACATTGTTTGTAAAGGAGCCAATAGCTGCCATTTAAAATAAACTGATGTTGTCCAAACATTTTCCTGGAGAAATCATTATTTAAATTCATAACCTAAAAAGCTTTCAAATTAATCAACCATATTTGATAACTTGGAAAATACAATTATTCCTGTTCTATTGATATCAGCTAGATTGCTCCACCTATAGATACTCTGGTTATAGAATTAGAAACACATGATCTCGGAAAATTTAACATGACAGTGTTTGTGGCCAGCCATAATTCAATACCATATCAAAACTTTAGGTTAATCTTAAAGCGCATTGGGTAATAAACTTTCTAATTACGCCTCGAAGGTTCAGTCAAAATGTACTTAGTTTCCTTTTTAATCAGTGATTAATTTCAATTATGCCAATAAGTCAACTTGCCACTTGTACTCTACAGTTCGAAGTGCATAGAACTTTGCATAAATGACAAATGGAGTATCTTTGCTCATCTAACGTGAGTTAAAACTGAAGTTAATAGAACACATATGAATATTATCTGGAGGAAGAGTCATTTCCTGGAACATTCATTTTCAGATTTCTCAAAATGGAGACAGGAACAATTTGCAAGTGGTAGGAATACAAGTCATTGGGAAACATATATCCCTTGTTTTCGCAGTGTTTTGTGTCATTTGTTCTGATTACTGCACATGTTAAAAATAGTTATTCCTTGTTTAATGAATAGGGGACAAATATGTCACTAAAAAGCCATGAAAAGGGGATTTAAAAGGTCTAAGTTGTAATTTTGGAGCTCTGTTAATTGGAAAATGTATGGGTACAATAAAGAAAATGTAGCCTACAGCAGCGCAGTCTCATTTTCTTCTCTTGTTATAACGTAATCTTACCTAGTATATACAATGTGGGCCAAAAAGCATGATACACATGCATGTTAAACTATGCCATGTAGGAGCGTAGCCAGCTTTCAGTCAGGGGGGGGGGGGGTGCGATCGACAAATTGTTCATTGGGTTTTCAGATGGGGTGGGGGGAGATGCGATCGCGGCATAAGCAAGCTAATGAAAATTCAGATTTGTTTTGAAATGTACAAAAAATTGATGTTATTTCAAAATTGAGCTAGACGCTTCAAATAAAAGCATTTTAAGCTCTTCTCTTCTTCTATCTTGTGGTTCTATATTCATTGGTTATGGGGGGGGGGGGGGTGCGCCCATCGCAATTGGTGGGAAGTGGAGGGAAATTTGAGCGTTTGCACCCTTCAAAAACAGGTACATTTATACAAGTTTAGTGCATAATTCAACCGTAATACTTCGATCAATTATGTATTACTCTTAAATAAATTTATAATGATTTAGTCAAGCATATTAATTGTAGCTGTGACTGCAATATGGAAGGAAATGTGGGATTTTTCATTTACTTATTTTGGTCGCTCATGACACTCCTATTAGACGGGTAGGAAGGAGGGGTTCCCATGCACCAGAAAGATGTATTTTTTTAATGTACATTTTTGTAATCCTAAAGGTCCATACTAAAGATTTTTGCATGTTCCCAGAATGAAATATTGTCCCATGGTATCTATTGGCGGCCATCTTGTCGGCCATCTTGGATTTTTGAAAGAGTTGATGTTAATTATCTCAAAGTATAATAACTTCCAGAGTTTTGAGATTTGAAAGCTGTAAGTGGTACCAAAATGAAGCTATTATAGTATCCTATATTATCAGATGCAATAATTATGCAAATTGTCTCATTTGCATAAAATGTGACATCATCAATCATAATTCTTGCCTCTTTACAACGGTATCACATTATACCTTTCTGCCTGAGTGATCAGTCTTAGTCATTCATTCACATAAATGAATTTAAATATATAGGTACATTAATTTTGAACATATTTGCAACAAAAAAAATCGAAACTTTTGGAAAAACATTGTCAGACACACGATAATGTTACTGAAAAGAGGCGTGGCACTTCTTGTGAAAGAATTGATTTTAATCATCTTAAAGTATAATAACTTCCACAGTTTTGAGAGTTGAAAGCTGTAAGTGGTACCAAAATGAAGCTATTATAGTATCCCATATTATATAAGATGTAATAATTATGCAAATAGTCTCATTTGCATAAAATGTGACATCATTAATCGTAATCTTTGCCTCTTTACAACGGTATCACACAATACCTTGCTGCCTGAGTGACCAGTCTTAGTCATCCATGAACATAAATGAATTTGAATATATAGGTACATTAATTTTGAACATATTTGCAATTGAAAGTTTTGGAAAAACATTGTCAGACACTAACTTATAACACTTCACATGATTATGTTACTGAAGAGGGGCGTGGCACTTCTTGAGAAAGAGTTGATGTTAATCATTTCAAAGTAGAATAACTTCCACAGTTTTGATAATTGAAAGCTGTAAGTGGAACAAAAATGGAGCTATTATAATATACTTATAAAAATGCAATAATTATGCAAATTTTCCCATTTGCATAATATGTGACAACCTCTATTATTTTTGGCATTTTTCAATGGTAACGACCAATATCTCTCCCTCTAGGTAACAGTCTTGGTTATTCATGAGCATTTATGATTTTGAATATATAGGTAAATTAATTTTGAACATATTTGAAATTGAAATTTTGGAAAAACTTTGTAAGAAATTAAGTGTTGACACTTCACATGATTATGTAACTGAAAAAGGGGGGGGCACTTTTGTTCAAAATGTTAACTTCTAAACACTAATATCAAATTCAAGGGCTGAAGCTCCTCTAGCAGAGTCAAGTAGATAGAGCCCAATGTTGCTCATTGGTGAAATTTTGGCCAAATTTTGCATCTTGTATGCACTGCTTACAAGTACATGAAGTGTTCATTATGATAGTGTAATTCCATTATGACAGCACAATACAAGTCAGGCTATTTTATTGTCACATGTGCAAAAGTCGATCTGATGAGACATGTTAAAAGTGGTAGTGGTTAATAATGCCCAGATCAAATTAACACGAGATAGATATTGAAGGTAGGCCCAGATCAAAGTATGGGCATCCTTAGCATCAATCATGACGCCATCTGTATTGTCCATTAGTGGGAGCTGTAACCCAAATAATGATCGTATATGATTTAATGTATGTGTCATTCAGTTGCCATGCACTTGGGGCAGTTGGCGGTTTCTTCCTTCCCCCAAAGTCTGAGGTTTGATGGAGTTGAGACCAGGTCAGGGAAAGCTCTTAATAGGAAATTGAGCCTTGGACCAAAGGTCATTCCATTTCAAGAAGTGCTGAAGTGAGGGTTCCCAGGTAATGTCAGGTAATATAATGTCAAGTAATTCCCAGGTAATGTAAATCTGGAAAGGCACCTAAAATCGTGGAGTAATATCATAACACCCCAATATATGACTTGAGTCAATGGCTTTAAGCCACTTGTCCAGGTCCCTTGACACTTCAGCTGTTTTGTTCAAACCACACATAGTTCTTCTCTAGACATTTGTTTTTTTATCTTGCCCTGTTGGTATTTGCTTGCCATTTATTTTGAACTGCATTGGAGAAAGCTTGCCATCAACCAAAACCATGCTTCTTGACCTGGTTGGTTTTTAACTTCATGCAAGTACCCACTTTCATCTTGTACCCACTACTGAACTGGTCATAACTTTGATGTCATCCATGAAAGCTCTGTATGGTAAGTGTTTTGCACCTTCGTTTGCTTTTGAAACCTTACACTGCATCATCCCTGCCTTGAGCAGTAAGTTCATTGATGTTACGAAGAGAACTACTGATACAGTGCAGTCTGCCACTATGCCTTTCTCTGAACTCTGCTAATTAGTGGTATTATTGCCAAATGTATTGTGCAACTTCAAGGAGTTTGTGTGTCCCATTGTCAGATTGACTACATCTGTTGGTTTTGGTACGTGAAAGTTAACTTGTACCTCTAGTATCAGTTGGTGAGGGACACTAGGTAGACCTTAGGTCCAGCCAAACTACTTATTCTCTTCCTTGGCTTCCTTCACAAGTTGGCTTATTGCTGCTATATGCACCCTTGATGTCTTGGGATACCACTTTTCTGAATGCTTGGCAGGCCAGTAGGAAATAACTGTGAGACTTGACTACAATGGCCCAGAAGATCTTTCCCTCAGCATCCAATAATGATGTCTACTTGAACTGGTTCAGTCCCTCAAATTTTAGCTCCTTTGGAATGAAGCACCTTTCCGCCAAAGCCCAAGTCCTTGCTAGATTTTTCTTGTTCTGGATGCTTGTTAGCAATCACCATAGGTGTATTAACAGCTTATGGCTGTTCTTGTACACCATGTATGCCTTCCTGATGATTGTTCTTACCTCATCAAGCTTGAAATCTGACTGGTCAAACGGTTTTGATGATAAATATGGTGAGATGTCAATTGGGAAATTACTCGATGGCATATTTCGATCTGGGTCACTGTGTGCTGCCAAAGTATTTGCTTCTGCTTGATCCTGCGTATATGCCATACGGGCACTCTTTGGTTCCCTAACAAGTTTGATGTGAGCCTATAGAGATTTTCAAAGAATGTCTTCCTACGCTTCTCTTTAGATTTTCTCTAAGATGAAGTAATCTCTTAAGAAGCATCTGTTGGAGCTCTCTGATCGTTTTCCATTGCCAGTGTTGAAGCCATCCACGAACACTGTGGGCTTCATCTCTCTTTCCCAAGAGAAGCTTTTGTCTTCTACTTGGCCCAACACAATGGTGTTTCACAGATGTTTCCTCCACTCACTGTCCTCGCATCTGGGATGGAAATAGTTCTAACTTGGACAAGAGGTAGCATAGTGAAGAGGCTGGGCTCTGCATCCCACTTCTATTGGGTGCATAACTGCATACCACCCTCTTGTCTTAGCCTCATCAAATAGGTCTTGGATTTTTAAGCTGGTCAGATATTTTAATCAGTCAACTCTGCTGAAGGTACCATGAGCTCATTGAAGATGTTGGATCTCTGTGTTTTGACATCAGCACTGAGTTTCTGTAAGAAGTCAGCTGAGAGTCCAGTCGGATGTCTTGGATAAAACATTGAACTGAGGTAGAGGCTTAATACATATTGAGTTGATTATATAGCTTTAACAACTAAATACTGTGAGTACCCATTTCAGTCCATTGCCTATCCTAAAATGATATGGGGATATGTGGTCATTCGTATCTGTATAGTACTTAGTCCAAAAGCGATACAGATTATATATCTTTGGCTGAAATTCAAATGTCTGCCAAACAGACCAACAAGAATTTCTGAACAAGCTAGGAATAAGGAACATCACTGGGCTACTTTCTAAAAGTCAAAAGCTACATTTTACACCCGAGGGATTCACTCTATATAAACATTGACAGGGGGTTCCTCTTTTGACATTTGGTATGGCAATGGATCCAAATTTTAGGATCTGGAATGAGAATGCCCCCATTTAATTATGACTTTTGAGGTATGACAATGGTCGGATTTTTCTACTTTGTGGTACAAGAATGGTCATGGAGAATATGTTACCTCTCACTTGTGGTATGGGATTGGTCTAGTTTTTACAAATGTCCTTAATTTGAGGTTGTTTTCATTTTCATAAAAGTTCTGCTTCTTCCAGGGGCTTTAGACATTTTGCATTCCAATGGTCTTATATTTTTGGGATATTTGGTAATTGGCATGAGTCCTATATTTGGACATTTGGTATAGCATTGGTCTTATATTTGGATATTTGGTATGGCTTTTGGGCGTTATTTTGGTTGGTATGTGAACACATTCAAATTTGAGAGATTGGTATGGGAACATAATGATTATGGGAAAATAATGATATCTTAGGGCTCAGCCTAGGACAACTACAGAATTGTGTATTCAGTGAACCCCTGGGTATTTTACAGATGATACATCGACTATATAATAACATTACGCATTTTCACGCCCCTTTTCAGAACAATAATCATTTGAAAGGTCATACCTTGATTTCTGACAATGTTTTTCTAAAACTTTCAATGCAAATATGTTCAAGCTTTCAATTGCAAATATGTTCAAAATGAATGTATACATTTAATATCTTTTATATTCATGAGAGACCAAGACTGGTCACTCAGAGGAAAATGCAATATGCATTACCGTTGAAAAGGGGCAAAAATAATGATTGATAATGTCATATTTCATGCAAATACAGTGATTTACATAATTATTGTATCTTATAATGTGGGATATTGTGATACCTTCAGTTTGGTACCCCTTGCAGCTTTCAACTCTCAAAACTGTGGAAGTTATTGTACTTTGAAATGATTAACATCAATTCTTTCACAAGAAGTGCCACGCCCCTTTTCAGTAACATAATCATGTGTCTGACAATGTTTTTCCAAAACTTTCGATTGCAAATATGTTCAAAATTAATGTACCTATATATTTAAAATCATTAATGTTCATGAATGACTAAGACTGATCACTCAGGCAGAAAGGTATAATGCGATACCGTTGTAAAGAGGCAAGAATTATGATTGATGATGTCAAATTTTATGCAAATGAGACAATTTGCATAATAATTGCATCTGATAATATAGGATACTATAATAGCTTCATTTTGGTACCACTTACAGCTTTCAATTCTCAAAACTGTGGAAGTTATTATACTTTGAGATGATTAACATCAACTCTTTCAAAAATTCAAGATGGCCGACAAGATGGCCGCCAATGAGTACCATGGGACAATATTTCATTCTGGGAACATGCAAAAATCTTTAGTATGGACCTTTAGGATTACAAAAATGTACATTAAAAAAATACATCTTTCGGGTGCATGGGGACCATACCTTCCTACTAGACTATATACTCTTGTGAGAAAATTAAGCCCCACGAGAAGTTTTTTTTCATCAGTTGGTGTCATATTGTATATACGAGTGACATGACATGATTTAGCTTCATGATTACTTCATGTCATATTCATCTTTAAACTTAGGTATTGTTTTTTGGCCCACCCTGTCTGTAAATATTGACTCACCTTTGAGTGCCACAGCTATAAAAGTGTTTGCCAAATAAACAAAAATATAAACAATACACAGAGTTACATTTCTCTTATTCTTGCAATATACTGACGCATTTCTCATATTCTTGCAATATGCTGACACCAATGGGTTTACAAATAAAGCTGTCCAAAGGTGGTCGTCACACTAAGAAGTTATCAACTTTTAGTACAGACATGTTTTATCAAATTATGCACTTTGATCTATGGTTTAAAAATGGTGATAGTGAAATTAAATATTTGTCCGCTAACTCATCAACACATTTTAGTTTGAAAGTGATACTTCACATTTGAACAGGTTGTGTTATTCCCGTTTCTGAGTGTAATAAAAGAAAATGCCAAGGACAATAATACACAATGGAACAGTTTGTATATAGTTTATTGTTGTAGTGTTTAAAAGGCATTTTGTTGCATACTCCATAAGAGCCGTTCTCTACCCCATGCAAGGAATCCCTTTTAAAGAAGTAACAATACACGCAAAAAAAGTAAATATACAATTTAACACAATTGTTAGTTACACCCCTGGTCAATGCCTCGATTTACAACACACGTCATATAATTCATCATCATTCAAAGAGTAACATACCAAATAGCAAAATTGAAGATTATCTTAAAAACCGTAATCAACAGTCGTAATCAAAATAACAGATCAAAATTATTAATTTGTGGGGGATATCTCAAACACACGTCGTAAGATTTATAGCATGAACTCTTCTAGATTAAAGAGATCGAGGTGTACGGTAGGCATGATTATATTATCGTAAATATAAAATAAAATAAAAATAATCAAAATAACGACGATTAATTTTAGGTACAAAAATTCAGAGGCATCTGTAACTCTGATTTTTGAAATTCACAATATGTGATTAGAATTGGAAAGTGAATTAATTGCATATTAAAAATTTAAAAGAATGAGAATATTAAGACCCCATTTCAATTTACAACTTTTCATGTGCTGTTTCTATTATAAAGTTAATTTGTTCCAAATATTGACTTTGCAAGCTACAAATCACAGTGAATTAAAGATAATTCCGGATAATTAGGATCAGAATTACAAATAATGACAGCCTTTAATTCCAGTAAATTCTAATGAATATAATGTTTGAGACATTCCCTTTGCATTGATAAATTTTATCGCAATACACCCCTTATTAAGTTACTGTCGATTGATAATGAGAAAGCTATACAACTTCTGTTTAACTAGTGAATTTTGAGATCAAATTAAGTCAGAAATCTTATCGTTTACATGGTATTGGGTTGAGTTCAGATTTTGGTAACAAGTGTGTCACGAGTTTCACACGTGAAATATTGGAAATACCCGTTTACACAATTACAGAGTGGGCCAAAAACATCCACATTTTTGTTTTTGTTGCAGCATCGTTGATATTACAGACACAGGTATAAATCATATATCATTGGAACGACAATTCAATTTCCAAACAAGCTTAAAAGTGTTGATTAAGTAATGTAATATTATGCAATGAGCTCAAAACATATAGTAAAATCTTGTTTTCTACTGTTCTTACCTCAAGATATGGAAAATACCATGTAGTGACCAATAGACATTCAGACTTTATAAATCATATATCATTTTGTGGGAAATTGAATTATCTTTCTAATGATACATAATTTATGCATATTTTCAACATATCAGCAAAGGTATTACAAAAATAAAAATGTGGACGTTTTTTGCCCTCCCTGTAAATTATATTCTTTAAACTGTTTGGGAAGTTGGACTCTTCAGAAAAGAATGACGAGAGTAGAAAAATTGACATTTCTTCCGAAGCGTACTCTCAACTCGTCCATATCCATTCTACTTAATTTAAGCTTACCATATTGAACTTCGCATTTTGAAATTTTATAAAACATATACCGGTACTAGGAAGGCATAGGTAGTGCTGAGACTGCTGACGTTGTTGGTTCTCATAATTATAATCTTGTGAGAAAATTAAACATTTATATCTACAGTCATGTGACACGATGATTTACATAAGTACATGTATTAAGATAATAGCCCCTTCGTTGATATTTGTCTCACCCACCGTGCAAGATGCTTTAAATGATTTAGTAAAAGTTGCTGTCCCGGGATTTTAAAGCTCAGTATTTTATTATTGTTGTGTGACTATACCTTTTTGCTGACTATCTGCACTGAAATATAAAGTGGTTCTCAACTGGCTGTACGGGATACTAATTTGCTATCCAAGGAAAATTTCATAATATTTTTTGTACAACATTTTTCAAATAATTGAGATATTATTGTAACAAGTCTGTATTCGTGGCTGTCGGATTTTTCTCCTCTCTCTATTTTTGAAGATTTAAATCAATATTCCATGCTTCCATTATTTTTCAGTAAGAATTTTATTTAAAAAATCAGCAAATATTTGTTCATCAATAGATACAACGCTCATAGTAAGCATTTGATTTCATCAAGCCCCCTCCCACGTTTTGATTTATCCAGGTCAACTATTGCTTTAAATGTTATGTTCTCTATTTCTGGAATGGTAGATCATTTGTTTCATTAATACTCATAATTGTAATTTGCCCACAAACAATTTCAAACATTTTGTTTCGTTTATTTTAATCAATTCTACATACATTTGTCAAGAATGTTTCTCAAAATGGGGCAAAATGTCCATGTGTATTTGAATTGCACCCCAATAAATAAAAGTGTTCACCGTTTGAGCAAGTTTGAAAATTTTCACAGATTTGTTTCACAGTTTGTTTTGCCTTGTTGGTGAGATTACCTGAACGTACAACAAATCAATTGTGCTATTTTTGTTATAATATTTGCCATGATAAGTTATTGCTTTTCTGATTTCATAGAGTTTGAATGAAGTGCTCTGCGGTGTGACAATAATATGCCGAACATGTATTTTATTTCCATGATTCTATATCAGGGGAGTAACCAGCCAGTTCGAGGGGGGGGGGGTGCGATTGCGGCATATAAACAAGCCAAAAAATAAAACGTTTTTGACTTTTACAAAAATTGATGCAACTTCCTTCAAATTGAACTAGAAATTCGAAATAAAAAGCATTTTAAAGCCATTGTCTTCTTCTTTTCATGGTACTATTTTCGCACCAATCGCACCCCTGGCTACGCCTTTGTTTATTATTCTAAGCATTTAAATTAATGTAGTTTAGTATTTTTCTCTAATTTTATCTATGGCCTATCACCTACCAGCTTATTAACTTCTATTATTAAGGGTCGTGACTTTGCAAGTGTCTACACAAATCACCAGTACACAACCGAAGAGAAAGAAATCCTCTCTAAATATGACAGTTTGGACTATTTGCCTTCACATAGCGAAGTCTACAGAGAATGGCTCAAAGAGTTGCCCGCCAGGTTAGTATAGTCACATAACGTTAGTCCAAGCTTCATCATATTCACCGTACCCTTAGCATAAACGTCATCTCATTCATCTGCAATGCAGCGGAAATATTCCACGACACATTCATTGATCGTGACACTTTACTATGACAATCCCTCATCATTTGATACCGAATGCTGTATCCTGTTTTGTTATCCACGCGTGGTGTTCTTCATTAAATTATCCCCCTACATCTATTGCAATCATGGTTTCAGTGTAGCTTAACTGTTCGAACATGGAATTCCATGGTATCGTGGCTTCTGAATAGTGTGGGGGTGTTATACACTATTTTTGCATCATTGTTTTGGATATTTGGGACTGTTTGCTTATCAGAGGTGATTTGCCTCAACGATTCTTTTTCTAACTTTATTTTCCATATACCACTTGGTTTCTTCCCTTTTAGACTGGACTGGGACAGGTGGGTGATGATGGCATTTATCGGGTTTTCCGTAGGGGTCACTGGGTTCATGCTCCACCAGATTACTCATCTTATAGCGGAAGTGAAGTGGCATTACGCAGAGAAGTTTGTCATCGTAAGTAAGATTGTTTTTCAATTAAAATAGCCATGTGTTTGATAAGAGTGTGCCAGATAAATATTTACATTTTTAAAAAACTCACAAGCATTTTATAATCCACACTTTCTTTTAGTCAATTTGTTGTTGACGGATTTTACGTTCTTGAATGTGCAGAACTGTGTAACGTCTCGAATATCACCGATGAAATAGAAAACATTCAATACATAATGTTAAGACGTTCCAGGTCAAAGTTACCATCTATGTATGTAGTATATAAATTTTAATTCATTTCAGGATAGTCACGTAAAAGCATACCTGTGGGTGCTTGGTTACAGTCTAGTCTTTGCCAGTCTAGCTGCCAGCACGGTTGCAGTAAGTACAAAATACGAGGGTCAATCAATGAATAATGGACGACTTTTCACAGTTCTACTAGTCTAATACTTATGTGTCTGGTTCATTGGGAGCATATGTGTAAAAAGCATCCATTACACATTGACCAACCTCAAAAATAAAGTTGGACGAAGCATGTGTACGCATTCCATGGCTATAAAGGTAGACATTTGTTATGGGCTTCTAACGCCATGTGTACATGTAACTGGATGTTCGCTCTTTAGCTTATGCATGGCTTTTTATTGCCTAACATCAGACCTATGGTATTCAATTTCATATTGTTATAGTCTCCAATTTTTTTTGCGGTTGGAGTTCGGCGTTCGGCAGTTGGCGACTGTAACAAATGACAGGTGGTGACATTTTGCATGTTAATGCCTTCCTTGTTGTAACTTGTCTGACTTTATGTTGTGTTTGCTATGTTTAGTACCTATATCCGTCCGCTGCTGGCTCGGGAATACCAGAAATCATAGGCTTCCTCAACGGAACTGCAATACGTTATGTGCTCAATTTCAAAGCCTTCATTGTCAAATTCTTCTCCTGTGCTTGTGCTGTCGGGTCGGGAATGCCAGTTGGACCAGAGGGACCAATGATTCACATGGGGTAAACATTTAACAGTTTGTTGATCAATGTTTTTCAAATATGGGTCTGGGGATTTATCGTATTCTTTATTAAATGTTGAATTTTAGTATTGCAACTCATCGCAGCATGCCTGAAAAATAGTGGAAAGGTTTAAATCAAAATAAGAACAGTTGGATAGCACGTGGTGCTGCATTTGAAAAACACTAACATGTAACACATCTCATAAAGTATAAACCGTATCTATGAATATTTAAAAAGTTTTGATTGTTTTTTTTTCAGTGGTATCATTGGTTCAGGGCTTAGTCAATGTAAATCTCGAACATTTCGATGTACACTCCCTTTCTTTGAGAGATTCCGGAATCCAGAAGATAGGTATGTCCTCTGATTTGCATTTCTCATTTCAACATATCTTTGGCTTGAAAATATCTATATACTGTATATCTCACAAATCCAAAAAGGTGATGAACATACTAAACGTTTCGTTTACCATATAGGCGGAACTTCACGTCAGCCGGTGCAGGAGCTGGCGTGGCTGCGGCATTTAGTTCCCCTGTGGGCGGTTTATTGTTCGCAATGGAAGAGGTCAGCTCCTTCTGGAGTGATAAGATGTCCTGGATGACGTTCTTCTGCTGTATGGTGGCAACGTTCACGGCTGATTTCTTCAACACCGCGTTTGGCAGTTTCAAAATCGGCAAGAATTTTGGATTGTTTCAGACAGACAAATATATTTTGTTTCAGGTACGGTAGATAAGTCTAAAATACCTACAGTGAAATCTGTAAAGTGAAACACATCTGCTGATTGAACACTTCAGATTTTCAAGACCATCTGACTCAATACTAAATGAACTTCTATAGTGGAATGCCTCCCAAGTAGAACACTTTTTAGAGGTATCACTTAGTGTTCCACTTAGACAGGTTTTATCGTATACATAACATATTTTTTGTAATGCCACCTCTTGACATTGGTCTTTCGTGTTACCTAATCTTTCGAGTAATACATTGTATATACGATAACATCAATAAAAACGACGCTGGACATTTTCTATTTTATATCATTTACCTTATGGATTTAGGTCACAAAGGGCATTCCTGTCAACGTGATTATGTTTATACCAGCTGTTGCATTGGGAGTTTTGGGAGGTCTCTTGGGAAGTGCTTTTACGATCATGAATGTGAAGATATGCCGAACTCGAATAAAGCTTACTGAACATGTTATAAAGAAACCTCTACTTCAAAAGACAGTCAGCTTTCTAGAACCAATTTTAATCACGGTAAGAAGATGAGGGATAACAGATATTGATTATAAACAATAGAATAGGTTACATAATATCAATCATGATAAGATTTGAGAACTATACAGATATATGAGAACATATTTTGGCCTGAGTTACATGATCATTGAATATATAGTTTTAAAATTTACTTAAATTTCCATGTCTTATTACAGGTCATATTTACTACTATATCAGTATATCTGCCCATTGCCTTTGACTGTAAGGCAAATGTGTGCCCATCCAACGCAACATACGCTGCCGCACATCGTCCAACATTACACCCATTGGATCCTCACAGACATAAACGAGCTGGATTCTTTGAATCTGAACATTCATACGATGATAAGAAACATCTTTATGTGGATCCAAGTGATCCAATGTTTGATCAAATAAGGTTTGTACTGTCATATCACCCACTAGGGTAACATCGAAAAATACAAACGCAAGATGCACTGACAAAATATTTTGTGTATACTCTTTTTTATTGTTAGATATGACAAGAGAAAACTGGCAAGTAGTCATATGATTTCACTACCTAGATGACTTTCTTGTTAATTATAGGGATGTTTGCAATAACTCAAAGTTTACTTATAAAGTAGAGCCTAATCTACCTCATTTGGGCTGCAAGATAAGCAACAACATAAAAGGTGCTTACACAAACAAATCATTGGACCACAATGGACACACATATCATTTTAATGATTTCAATGAGAGTAAGTACCATTTATAATATCATATCAATCACATATTGATAACGTTTGATAACAATATGCAAGCCCTTATTACGCTGATGTAGATGTGATAGAAGCAGTGGACACAACTACACAATGATATGTTAGCATTTTATATGAGAGAAACGTAACTAGCGCGCGTTTATACGAACATGTTACATTCTCTATAAATAAACAAATAAAATATCTAATATATGTGTTTTATACTTTCAGTTTCGGTGTTACTTAATGTCCCCGGGGCTGATGCAATACGCCATCTATTCTCACGTCAAACCCATCTACAGTTTGATTATATCCCATTACTCGTAGTCTTTCCCATCTACTTTATCATGGCATGTTGGGCAGCTGGTAGTTCAGTTTCTAGTGGATTTGTAGTCCCCATGCTGTAAGTAGCGTAATGATGTTATTTATTATCATATACATACGAACACCAAATGTAAGTGTTAACGTTATAGGAGATAATACACCCATCGATGGTACATTCATTTCTTTGAATCAACGATGGCCCTAGTTTTGCATACATAAGACAAACAGAAATATTCTAATGTGGTAGTATACTGTTTTTTGGGAAATAAAGTAAGGTACACCAAAGTTGATTAAAAAATAAATGCCAATATACATGATCATTATTCTAACAACGTACACGATGTTATTTAGATTTATAGGTGGTGTATATGGTAGGATAGTTGGAAGAGCAGCAGTGGACATATTTGGTGAAACATCTGAAGACGATTATTGGAGATGGGTAGACCCAGGTGCATTTGCCTTAATAGGGGCAGCGTCTTTCTTTGGAGGCGTTTCTCGACTCACAATGTCTCTTACAGTCATAATGGTGATTGCTTGGTTCAATGATCCATGGTTTTCCGCATCAGAATCTTTATTATATAATTACCAGTAAAATCATTTTAATCTATTAATATTTTGTGATTAAATAAATGAACTTATACATTTTTTATACAGAATTGTTAAATGACAATTACATTTTATATTTCAGATTGAGTTAACCAATGATGTCCTTTTCTTACTGCCAATTATGGTCACGATAATGGTTTCCAAATGGGTTGCTGATTATATCACTCATCCTTTATACCACTCCCTTCTAGAGCTTAAGTGTATGCCCTTCTTGCCAAATGAACCAGTTATCGTCGACAATAAACAAACTGTGTAAGATATAAATTAATTTTAAAAATAATTTTGAAATAAAAAGTAGATAAATAAAGATATCAATTGAATTATAATTTATGCCATCGTGGTAGTAACTAAGAACTGTTAAACAGAATTTATTTAAAGATTCTAAAACAAAATATTACGAAACGTGATCACATAGTACTAAGTTATATATGAACTGAGAGTATACTACGTAGTAGTTGTTTTGCGTTTCGCTGGTGGTTTCACCTTGTTGTGACTATAAACTTATGAACTTATAAACACGTGTTTCAGTATTAATTTGGAGCAATATCAAGCACAAGAGGTCATGGCAAGCCCCGTCTGCACAATAAAGACTGTGGAATCAGTCAAAGAATTGGCACAGTTGCTAACGGAAACAGATCATGGTGGATTTCCTGTAGTGACTCATGACAAAGAGACAGATCATTATGTTTCCTATGGAATTATAGGACGTACAGAGCTGTATATTATTCTCTGTTCGAAGTCAATTTCAAGTGCTGCTGATAGTCAGTCAGAGGTGCTGGTGTCTCCAAAGCTTACATACCAAGAGGTGATATTCGCAGTCATTTTTAAGTTGAAATTTTTTTATGTTTACATTCCTAAAATACAAGTCAAGTTCAACAAGCACGTTGAACCACGAACGTTTCTTCCGATAATTGTTTAACACAAGCAACAAGTTTTCTTATGATAACTGTATAGCAAAAAGATTTCTTCTTCAATAGCCAGTTTCTTGCACTAATTAGCATATGCAACCTTCTTCTGGTAATTGATAGCATCAGTAGGATTCTTCCACTTAGGGTGCAAACGTTTTTTATATGCTACAACATTTAAGTGGCACATTAGGTATCACATTATTATTCAAATAGTACGTCCTTTGTTTTATCTTCGCAATGGTATTAAAGAATTAATATGTTTTGCACTGAATAGTGGAATATTTGATGATTAAAAATTTCAACTTTTATTTGAAAAGTGGCGGGAAATATGAATATTTGAAAAGTAAAGAACTTTTTCCCTCAATTTTGTTTTTCAAAAATCCTTAAATAACTTTTACAGTCATGAAAATAGTAAATGAATGATAAAACATATTTTCAAACTTTAGATGGGCCTTTAAAGTTAAACTGAAAACGCGGAATTAAATAAGGATATGTATTTATAGGTGTCTCAAGTAAAAGGAACCTTAGATTTGGGAGAGGTCTTCGATTCACTCAATAGCCTAGCAAATGACCAAAGATATCAACATGTACATGTCAATTTGGTAAGAAAGAACTGTTGTGTTCTTATAGTTTGGTAAAATAATGGTAATGTTAGAGTAAATTAATTTATTATATTTAAACTAATCAGTACTATACAATGATAATGATAAATCATGACATGTGCTATTAATTTAACCATTTTTCCTTGCAGTCTCCATTTATTAATAAATCTGCTCCAAATATCGACCAGAACTTTTCACTCCATCGGACCTATTTAGTCTTCCGCACCCTGGGTCTGCGCCATCTGACGGTGGTTGATAGAAACAATAGAGTAGTTGGTATGATTACAAGAAAGGATTTAATGGGGTATAATTTAGAGAAAAAACTTGATGTGCATGGTCGAAATAAAGCCAGTAAGGAGGAGCGTGAAGAAAAGTTACGAATGATCAATGGACGTGAAATGGAACTTTAATCTATGACGTGGCCTGTAATGTGGAAACGCTGGGAAGAACCATTAATTTGAACACAAATCACGGAAAACATATTATAGCATGTTGAAATAAAGAATTGACACCACATATAATTAGGAATTGATAAATATAATATTATTTGTTCCTTTCCTTTTCTATATGACATGGCAGAGTATGGCACATGGCATATTTTATCCGTCAAAATATAAAAAGGCGTCATGTTTATTAAATCTGGTTCCCATCTGATACCTACCCGTGATTTGCTCGCCCTTTGAGAAAAGTGTTTGGCGGAAAACTTATGTCTCAAATATTGGCCGCCTTGGATGAATAAAAATGTTATTTTATATGTATATTATTCCAACTTTGCTAACACATTTAGGTAGACATGTTCATCTAAGATACTATCATGCCTAACTGAGATGTTTTTGTTCTAGATTCAATAAAATTTAAAACAACATTTAAACACACCAGCCCCTTCGATGGGAAACTGGGTAGTGTACAAAACCTGCCTAGATACTAATATGTAATAAGTTATGACTTCCATTCATGGATAATACAAACGGCGGAGACATGCTAACGTTTCATCGTTTGCAAAAAATCATGTATACATCGATGAAAAAGTCCAGAAGTCAGCATAGTAACTTAAAATGGTAAAAGTTGTTTTCAAAAATAAAATTGATTTCAAAACAAGAAGATCACGATAAAAGCCGTTCTGGAAATATTTTCAAGTCAGGCAGGCCTCCTACACTCCCACAAATGCGATCATCAGTTCCGACCACGAGACATACACCCCCTCCATAAGTTTGGCAACTTTAGCTCGAATTTTTATTTACTTAACCTGCGATGAAAATACTTCTATTGATGGAAACGTAATTGGACTTTAATTCCAATACCTCAAAATTTCTCAATTTTTTCCTCAAAAAATTAATGATTTTGATGAATTATTGAAAATCGACATACTACTCCCATGTTAACCAATGGGAAATGGTAGGTTTGCCGCAAGTCATATGACAGAATATCCTATCCAGTCTAAATAAGTTTTCCCCCAAGGAATCATGAAAAAGAACAATGAGTACGTCCATGCGTTGCAAATTACATGCTTAGACGTTTTCAACAAAAGCAGTTCATCCAAGCGCACTTAAACCGTTTATTACGCTGCAAAATCCTTGTTGGCTGCTCGCGTGTGTCATCTGCGTCTGCTCGTTGCTAGTGCACCACGGGAGTTCTTTTCAAAAGAATTATGTGGGTGTATGGGCGCTTGGATAAGCTATAGTTGAAAACACATGCGCATGTAATTTTGCAACTCACTAGCACCACGGGCATACAAAAATACAGTCTTGATCAATAATGAAGATAGTAACCCGAATTCATAATTGTTTTATTCTAAAGAATGCACAGTAACAAGAGAAGGGTACATGTACATCTGTAAATTGGGAAACGAGGAAAACTATCAAAAACGATCAGGTGTCCATTCTTTAAAAACAATAGAAAGGGAATCTTCTTTCCTTTTGATACAACCATACATTCTTAGAAATAACAGACAGCCCATTCTCAGATTCTACTGTTGCTACCTACACGGTTCCAGCGTAATTGAGTGGATCGCCAGTGTATAAGCGCACAAAGCCGAGCATTCATGATTGAGATGCCAGTGAATATAAACATCGGGTAAATAACTTAAAACGAAACTAAAAAGCATTTATTAGACAATACTTGTTTATATAGTTATTGATATTCGATTACCTGACTCATAAATGCTACTTTCGTTTTGACTAAAAGGCTTTGTTCGACTGTGCAGAGTGAACATTTACAGACATGGTTAGAAATATTAGAAGAATTACGTTTGTTGCATATTTCTTATGGTTACATATTCACAATATCGCAACATGGGAAGACACAGGTAATAACATATTAATTTCATATATTACTTTGTACTACTATATGTAAATACCTTGGCTGTATTAGTTTTTTTTGTCTTCATGTTTTCATTCGATTCTTTTCAGGAGATTGTTATCACGGCAACTTCGTCTTGGTGAAACAAGCCATGCAAATTGCTACCAGTTGCCCTGAAACTCATACACCACTATGGGGTTTAAACGTAGAAAATTGCCTTAAATCAGCTTGTGCATTTATCACCAATTTGGTAATATACAAACATTATTTACATGGGCATTCTTCTTGTTCGATGTATAACTGTGAATCAAATGAAAATGATACTGATTGGGAATATGGTTGGCGACATTGGTGGGAATTTAAGCAAACAAGTGCATATGTTTTGCCCCACCATTCTACACCAAGATGTCATGATTCGTACTTTATAAGGAGAAGTTGGGATACTAGAAGAAATGTCAATAGCATTTGCTCCAATGTGACACATTTGGCTGTGAATAACGTCAGTTCGTGTATGTCATTTGCATGTGAAGTAAAAGCTAATGTTTTAGACTATGTTAAGGACAACCACACCTGTAGAGTAATGCATTGCAATTGGAATTTTAAGCCATGGCAAAATAATTTTTATTTCACGAATAAAATAGTAACTCAAAAAGTTGCAACATATAGTTTATTGTCACTTTCAAATATATCGAAAGAAGCATATACCCACAACAAAAACAATGAACAGTGTGAAACCCGATTCGACAATAGAAAGTGTAGCCGTAACCTCGTCAATGACTCATTTTGAAACGTTAAATAGTGAAAATAATGGTGAAACGTGTAGTCCTTCATCAAACCAGCTTGATCTTCTCCGAACTCAAAACATTCATTTCAAAGCCCTCGCAATTATAATGACAGGATCTACAGCAATCCTATTTGGATTTATATTCTTAATTTTGATATACATGTACCGTGTATCTAAACATAAACGATTAAGAATCAGAAGAATGACACCTATATCTAGGAGAGGCCTTCCAAATAGTTCCTCTGTGGGATTTGCTGCAGATCGTTCAGGTGTTTCAACGAGGTCATATCGTTCCGATGCGTCCACCTATGTTTCGCCTTACTCATTAATAGATGAATCGAAGATGCTTCCATTGGTTCAAACGGAACAGTCAACTTTTTAGAGACGACAGAAAGAATTTTACATCCATAGTGATGTATCTTGAAGTCATCTGAGAAATATAAATGTATCCCGTTTCATTTGACAAACAAGGCATTAACATGACAAAATGTCACCACCTAAAACAATTTGGTCAATTTAAAGCAGTTGAAAAAATACCTCTTTGACTTTTTTAGACATTGAGAAGGTCATTGAAGGTCAAATATCAAATGTAAAGTCAGATTTGAACTTCTGAGAACATGTAAAGTCAAATTTGAACTTCTGAAAAGATGTAGATGATTTTGAAAAAAAAATTAAGTAAATTTGAAGCAAGTTGAAAAAAGACCTTTTTGACCTTGAAAAGGTCATTGAAGGTCAAAAGTCAAATCTAAAGTCAGATTTGAACTTCTGAGAACTTGTAAAGTCAAATTTGAACTTCTGAAAAGATGTAGATGATTTTGAAAAAAAAATTTGGTCAATTTGAAGCAAGTTGAAAAAAGACCTTTTTGACCTTTTTTTGACCTTGAGAAGGTCATTAAAGGTCAAATGTCAAATCTAAAGTCAGATTTGAATTTCTGAGAACATGTAGATGATTTTGAAAAAAAAATTTAGTCAATTTGAAGCAAGTTGAAAAAAGACCTTTTTGACCTTTTTGACCTTGAGAAGGTCATTGAAGGTCAAATGTCAAATCTTAAGTCATATTTGAATTTCTGAGAACATGTAGATGATTTTGAAAAAAAAATTTAGTCAATTTGAAGCAAGATGAAAAAATACCTTTTTGACCTTTTTTGACATTGAGAAGGTCATTGAAGGTCAAATGTCAAATCTAAAGTCAGATTTGAATTTCTGAGAACATGTAGATGATCTTGAAAAAAAAATTTAGTCAATTTGAAGCAAGTTGAAAAAAGACCTTTTTGACCTTTTTTGACTTTGAGAAGGTCATTGAAGGTCAAATGTCAAATCTTAAGTCAAATCTAAAGTCAGATTTGAATTTCTGAGAACACGTAGATGATTTTGAAAAAATTTTTTAGTCAATTTGAAGCAAGTTGAAAACAGACCTTTTTGACCTTTTTTGACCTTGAGAAGGTCATTGAAGGTCTTATGTCAAATCTTAAGTCAGATTTGAATTTCTGAGAACACGTAGATGATTTTGAAAAAAAAATTTAGTCAATTTGAAGCAAGTTGAAAACAGACCTTTTTGACCTTTTTTGACCTTGAGAAGGTCATTGAAGGTCAAATGTCAAATCTAAAGTCAGATTTGAAGGTCAAATGTCAAATCTAAAGTCAGATTTGAATTTCTGAGAACATGTAGATGATTTTGAAAAAAAATTTAGTTAATGTGAAGCAAGTTGAAAAAAGACCTTTTTGACCTTGAGAAGGTCAAATGTCAAATCTAAAGTCAGATTTGAACTTCTGAGAACATGTAGATGATTTAGAAAAAAATTGAAGTCAATCTAAACAGTATTTGTTAAGTTATAGGAAGTTGTAAGAAATTGTTACAGACGCCGGACGCCAACCGCCGGACGCCAACCGCCGGACGCCAACCTCCAACCGCCGGACGCCGTCGCAAAAAAACGGAGACCATAACAATATGTCACCACTTTTGGTGGTGACATAAAAACGGAGCTTTCATCTCTAAAAAAGGACTCTATATAAGAGGCACTGAAAGGAATTTAAAGATTATTTGTTCAAATACAAATCCCTAAAGAAAGAACGATTCGTTGATCGAATATCAAGGGGAAATACGTTCTTAAAAAGTCGAATATATATCGATTTATCCAATGCCAAGTAGAGTTTTAGGGAGACAAGTTGGTAAGATATATCCCGTATCCTGATTTTGAGGTTTCCATATCCAGAACCTCCATATCTCCCGCCATATCTCCCGCTTCGGTGCATATCTTTCCGCTTCCGGTGCATATCTTCCCGCTTCCGGTAATGCAATAAAATGACTTTGCATATGAATGATTTGTTTATTTTTACACCTTGTACTATTGGAATGGCCATATGCCCCTGAAAACTCTACTTGGTATGGGGTAAAGCAGTTATGTACGGTCGGTTTGGATATTGGGTTCATCCCTCGTGAGATATGCACATCTACCTTCGGTCCCTACGGTCCCTCAGGTAGATAGGCATATCTCCCTCTCGATAAACCCCATATCCAAAACCTCCCAGTACATAACCCTTATATACCACTATGACGATATTAATCCATTGATCATATCAGAATTCAATTGAATTCATTATTGATTTTATAATTATTTAACTTTCCCACAATAAACTTAATTGGAGTGTTAAGTAAATACTATAGATAAAGGCCTCAGAATAATTACATATGTCTATTGCAGTGTATGTGATAATGTACAAAACAGTATGAGTGAAAAGAAATTGAATTATAGCTTTTAAACGAACTGCTAGTTAATAAACAACTTGTTATAAAAAGAAATAAAACTACAAATCGTGTTGTATGTGATAATGTACAAAATATATGAGATAATGGGAGTGTTACGTAAATACTATATATACTGTATATATAGGCAACATGATAATTACATATGTCTATTGTAGTGTATGTGACAATGTTCAAAACATATTATAGTGAAAGAGAATTAAATTGAATTATTGCCATTAGACGAACTGCTAGTTAATAAACAAAACCAACTTGTTATAAAATGAAATAGAACCACAGGGTGACACAAAAAATGACGCCCACCTTACGTTGCATCACTTGTTTACCTATTAAGAAATAGATTTGTCTTTTGGCACATTCAAAGTAGACATAATGCGAAAGTACCTCCACTTTCAGATGTGTAGCTCAAGTGGGTCAAATTTTATGAGCGTTACAACATTTTCTCTAAATGTCGTCCATTTATTGCAGACATAGATGGATTCTGCACAAAATGCCACCCAGCTTTTGTAACATAACTTTTAGACTATTTGTAAATACTAATGATTTTGACTTGTACTTTCAGGGAAACGAAGTCAATTCAATCAAACACAAAATAATGTGGTTGTCGTTGTTAAAATTTATAACTTATTTCCAAAATTATGTTACAAAAGCTGGGTGTCATTCTTTGTGTAACATCCAGTTGTGCCAGCAAAGGAATAGACGACACATTTTGTAACGCTCATAAATGTGAATCTAGGTGAGCTAAAAAGTTATGAAACATTGTGTGGGTGGGTGTCATTTTTATTGTGTCACACGGTACACATCGAAGTTGTTGATTTATTTGATAATATACAAAACTTTATAGATTAAGAAGTATTTGTATTTCAGCTCTAGAGAATGGCCATTTATAGGATTAGGTAGGAAACAGTGGTGTTACGACCAAGCGCAGTTTCTTTTATCAGCATTATTAAAAAAAATGAAATACTGATCAAAAAGGAGTTATATTTTATAGACGTAGTTGTCACAATAGTATAGTTTCCATATAGCTTTTGAAATCTCGCTAAATCTCGTTTTTCGTGAGATTTTAAGAGACTTGCATATTAGACCTCTAATGACTTACATTACCTTCTTTTAAATGGTATATTTGAATTCAGTGGAATGTTTTCTCCTAAAATAGCTTTGATTTACACAGTTATCTAATTTGAATAATTTTCTATGACAATTTAAAAAAAGTTGGGCCAAATGTCCATAGTTGCAATGCTAAAATTCTTTAAAACCGTGGATTATTTGTATGTCAATCAACATTAGCATGTTTAATCACAACATGTTCATAATCAGGGTCATCATGTGGTATATCATTCAAGTTTTATACAGATTCAACAAACACACTTTGATAAATCATGAAATTAAGCCACTTTTCCAAGATTTTAGCATGTAAGTGAATGGAGCTCTAGCCAGAGTTAAAAGCTGAATAAAAGATGGCAGCACGAGATTTCATTGATTTTTCTGCTATTTAGAAACTATCCTATTGTGTGCACAACATACTCCGAACGCAGGCTTCCAGAACTCGCCCAGGGGCCCGCCCCCCCCCCCTTGGGTGGGCCCAGAAAAAAAAATTGTGCCCAAAAAAAATTTTGAGCCAAAAAAGGCTTTAAGGCCCCAAAAGGTAGGCCTTTTTGGTCATAAATTGGCCTTGTAAGGCCTTATTTGTTAATTTTAGGCCAAATTTTGAAGAAAATGGGCCTCAAAATTTCAAAATTTGGGCCCACTTTTGGGTTTTGGGGCCCAAAATTTTTTTCCCGCGCAATCGCGGAAGTTTTTTTCTCAGACCACAAGTTTGGGCCCCCCCCCCCTTGTTGGTTCCCAGATCCGCCCCTGTTTCTTCTGGAAGAAGGAATTTTCTCAATTTCATAAGAATGTCGTCATGAAATTTCATGAACGAGATGTAGCTGAGATTTTATACATTGCCGTTGCTCGCAACCAATCAGCGTTTCAACCTCATTAATATTCATTAATAATAAGTTAACTGTATACCTGAGGATGATAGCGTCTCGGTCTATTTGTGCTCTCGAGAACATGGAAAGTAAATAGACATATATTATGAAATTGAGATCTTACCATACCATCTAGTGGACTTTTTGGTAAGGTATTCTTCTTAAATCGCAGTCATTCACTGCCTTATGTATAAGGGTCTCTTGTCACGCCTAGCCTTGACCAAGTCGGTCTCTTTTACTATCTTGATTTCTATTATGACCGCCTTGTACCAAAGAGAAAGCCACGTGCTTTACCGACTCAATGTTTATGTCGGTAAAATTTGACCAATCAACGACGGCCCTGCAGCGTTAGCTCATTATTATGCACGGTCAAAAACAAGTACACTTTTCGCCGGGACTTTTCACGAACAAATCTTGCATGAATTAATCATGAAAATACAAATATTTTATCAGATAAATATCAATCAGAGTTTAGTGGATGCCGGAGCATCGATCGGTAACCGGAGGTAAGAAGATTTCATCAATAAACGTTGAAACGATCGCTGAATTCAAATGAACATGCTGAGATTCAATCACTGACCGACGACTACATGACCCGCTACATTGGACCCCGGGCATTGGACTAGGTCTTCGTGCATTTTCATCGCGAAATCAGTTTTAAATCAACATTGAATAGCATGATTTAATTTACATTAATGACTTACATTCCAATGTACATTTAATTACACTGGAAACACTCGATCAGATTGAATTTCAAGTCGGAGACGGGGAGTTTGCTTAGTTTATGCATGTTAAGCTGATAACGTTTTGATTGGTCAATCAGCCTGAAGTCACACGTCTGTCCACGCGATCTGTAAATCAATTATAGGTTTCGCGATACCCCTGATAGCGTAGGTATTATGAAAATCTCGAAACCGCTGAATAACTCTGCATCATATCAGCGCAGGTGTATTGGATTGTACAAGGCGGTAATAATTCAAGATCGGATAAGTAAAAAATACCGACTTGGGTAAGGCTAGTCACGCCTTGTGATGAGATTTGTGTAGTTATCTTGATTGCAGATCAAATCCGTCACTTCTTGTGAGGAGGAAGTCATTCGTCACTTTTGTGCGAAAAGTTCATCACTTCTTGTGAGAGGAAATGTGTGTCATCACTACTTGTGAGACAAAGTTCATTGTTCATTGAGATGAAAGTTCTTTATACATCGGCTCTTGTAGAATCCTAGTGGCCCTCTAATCCTTGAGTGAGATTTATCCCCTGAAACAATATAAATAAATATTGTTTACAAAGTATAACTGAACATGTAATGTAGGGTAGGGCGAGGTGGGCGACATGTATAAAATCTCAGCTACATCTCGTTCATGAAATTGCAATTTCATGGCGAGATTCTTATGAAATTGAGAAATTTCAATATCACTCGATGTAGCTTTCGAGTTTATACATTGCCTGTTTAAAGCTAATCTCACCTCAAATTGTAGATGAGAAGTCTGTGACATCTTTTTTTGTAAAATCTGAAAAAGGTCCTTGCATTTGACCAATTGCCAGTATTTACTATTTGATTTATAGACATTCCTTTGGTCCAGGCCTTTGACGTGGAGGCAGCTTTAGTTGAGCGAGCTTTATATGTGTTGGTATCTATGCCCGCCTGTTCCATAGTTGCTTTCAGCCAGTTGGCAATGGTACTACAGGATTAAAAGGTTTCACATTAGCAATGAAAAGTCTGGACTTTTGGAACTCTGTAGTTCTGAGGTCTGTTGTCCTCGTGTAGTCATGTAGTCCCTCATGTACTTTGTTACATCTAGCTTGGGGTTTTCTGTGAATTCCTGAAAAATCAGAGTTGTGTATGGTTTATTAGGTTTTGATGGTTTGCATGTACCATCGATGGTTGCTTGAATCTGAAAACCATTGTCAATATAGTGGGTTTATTTTGCTTAACTCTAAGCCTCTGCATGCACTTGTTAGTGCCATAAGCATTGCTAGTTTATGAGAGAGAAATATCAATGACATTGTCGTTATTGTTCTGAAATTGCAGATCTGTAGCCATTTATAGTGGAATACAACTTACCTGTTTCGAATAGGTAGGTAAGGAAGTTGGCTATATTTGCCACAGAGGATTGAAGTGGAGAACAGCCCCGTGCAGAACACCAGCTTTCCCACTTTTCCAGCTGCTGTTGTAAGCAGCTGATGTACCTTCTCTCCCGGCTTGGAGGAGGACTTTGGTAGTGTTTTTTGAAAACCCCTCTGCTTCATACTGTACCTGACCCTGAGATTCTCCAAGCCCCTAGATGCATTTTCCCCTCTGATACCATTGGGTGGATTTGCTGTAGGGGTGATTTCAAGAGATTGTCTGATGTTGGGAGAAGTATTGGAATTGCTATTGACATTTGAATTAGCATGGGGTACCAAGGTTGGTTTTGTCAGATTGGGGCAATCAGAATGATTTCTGCTTGATCCCTCTTTACTTTCTCCAGTACT